GCAGCATTTCGGGCAGGGGTGGGCTGGGATGTGCTGAGCTCAGAGAATGGCGAGGTCACTGCCCTGGTGGAAGTAAGGGAGAGAAGCAACTGGCTGAGGGAAAGGCATGGGTGTCTGTGCTGAGAATGTGGGAGGTGAAGAGGCCCCATCAGTGTTTTCATCTGTGATTGTAAATTTCCCCAGTACTCTGACAGCAGCACAAATGTTGGTTGGAAAATGTGAGGCTGGGGCAGAAACAAGTTGGGGTTCTGTTGCAGGAACCTGAGGAGAGCTGTGCAGGCCCCAGGCAGCAGTGCTTAGAGAGTGATATTTTATTTAAAAACAATAAACTCATTACATACTAACACAAAAAGCATTTGTCTTGAAAAGTAATTTTTACAAAACTGAGAACATTACAGTGGTATTGTTTTACGCTTTTGCAAATCTTTAGAAAGCCCAGCTTCATAGGAGACAGAAGACGGAGTCTCACAGCTGCTTTGCATTTAGTATGCTGCAATATATTGTTTTGGTTTAAGTATATGAAGAAAGGCTGGCTTGACACAAGTTTTGGAAAAGGAGGTAGTATTTTAATAGGCTTTAGAGATCACTGTGGACATTCTTGATACCACAAGAAAACCCAAGTGGTCATTTTTTTAAAGGTTAGTTGTAATACGGGATCTGAAACCATATGACTTTCTTATGCTATTACCTTTGGTCCAGCTTGCACTTGGAATGGATCTTATACCCATACGTGAATTTATGATACCATGCATTGATCATTTAATAAACACTGGCTCACTGAGTTATGCCAATCGCCTGATATTAACACATTTCAAAATAAAAGATCAAAAAGCTATTCATTGAAGGAAAATACCATACTTTTAAAAAATCTATGTATTAGGAAGCTGTTAAGCTTTCAAATCCACCTTTAGCTTGGAAATCTGTATCTTCGGCCCAGATCTCCCCAGTGAGCTCCAGACTGATGTATCCAATTACCTCTTTGACATCTCTCCACTCTTCCAGAGGCTCCTCAAACTCAACATGAAAAATACTCAGGCTTTTCACTCAAAGCTGGCCTTCTGCTACGTCATGAGCCAAGGAATAACCAGCAGTAATGCAAACTAGAAACCTTTGACTTGCCCCTCTCCCTCACCACTACCTCTGCATCCATAAATCTATAGCCAAAGCCTGTCACCGTTACTTTCTGGCAGGCTGTAGCCATGTCTGTCTAAACCCCCAAGTGGACACAAATGGGAACCCTCAGGCCTTACATACATCACAGGCTCAGGTGAGAAGCTGCTCTGAACTGGCTCAGCAAGTTCAGGGCTCAGCACCCTCAGACCTGGGTGATGTGGCTTACTGGACAGTGTTGACTTGTGGTGGTGTAAGATGCCCCTTTTGTTTGGCTATAGCCTTTGAGCAGACTGGGTGAATTAGATGCCAAGGATTTGCTACTAAAGGCCAAGAGGTGGTCTGTCAAGTTTCCACTCTAATACCTTGGAGAGAAAAACAAAAGAAAACTGGGTTTCTCCGAGAAGACTGTTCCCTCCTGCCCACCTGAGAATAGATCTGGGGTAGCAGGGGCGTTTCCTGTCACTCCTTCATGACTACTTGTATTACTTAGCCTTATGAAACTAGAAGAGCATTTTCAGATGTGGTGAGTAAAAGGCTGAATCCCTGTGTTCCCATAGTGAAACTCCTTCCTGAAGGCTTCTCAGTGGCTGCTCCAGTCAACACTGGTGATGCTGTTTTGCAGCCCTCTCCTTTCATGGCCAGAGGCAGCAGCGATGGCAGACTGGCACTCTGAAATTCAATGAATCTAACCCAAGAGGGCTTCCAGGCAGCTCAGACTGTCTAAAACAGGACAATTCCTGTAACCTCTAGAGGTAACTGAACCAACCCTACCCTTGAAGCATGCCATCAGATAAACCAGTCACAAGTAAGAGAAATGAAAACACATTTTCTGAGTAAGAAATTTATTTGATAAAATGGCAACATATGAAGATATTTTAAACTATAAAGCTCTATTCTGGCATAATGTATCTTTGTTATAAAGTAAATGTTATCAATCCAAATGATACCTAAAAGTTTCCTATAATGTATCTGTGTGGAACATTCATAAAATCCTCATGTGCTTTAAAACTAGGTTGCAGATATAACAGAAAACCTATAAATGGTACCTATAAGCAGGTTTCCACAGGTGTTTGAGATAAAATACAGCTAACATTGGTGAGAGCATCATCTCATGAGGAGGAGGACCAAAGCAGTGAGTAGTATGTTGAGCCTTACTTTCCCACCCAGCATCTTACAAATTCTTGGAACTCTGAATTAAGTAGGCAGTATTGCTCCAGAAAGGACGGTTGGGAAACTAGTATTAGAAAGAGGAAGGGAGGGGAAGCTAAGGCGTGACAGTGACAGGCTCAAATGTTTTCTGTAAGCAGCTTTAGAAATGACCAAGGAAATGGATTTTATTTTTGAAGGTGAATCTTTGGAGCTACACACCTACTTCCAAAGATAAGGACTGACTCACATGCCACGAATTTGGCTACACTCTAGCATGAAATCTTTACTGGGGGCCACATCATTACTGGGGTGCACTGGCAACAGGGCAGCATGTAGGTTATACCAGTTTCCCCCTTGAGTACTTTCCCAGTACCCAAGTGACTGTCTTTGGGGCCATGATAGGGACCTAGGAAGCAGAAACTGGCAGAAAAGAAAAGCTTCAGACACACAGGAGAACCAGATACTGAGGTGATGTCTCAAGTGCACACACTGAGGAGCAAAGCGCAGAAGGTGACCAATGGTTAAAGTGACAGGGAGAAATGGAAAAAACCCCAGGAAGCCAAGAATGGTCACTGAAAAATAATCATATAGCACCCATTATTACTATTTTGATAGATAAATATCATTGAGGTTTTATATAGCATCTATGCTGTCTTATTTTTATACACGTAAAAATTTATAAGGAGTTTCAAAACAGTTTAAGTGAAATACACATTCTAATATAAATATTACATTCTAAATTCATACAACCAACCTGATGTTATATAGATTTGGGGCTATATATAGAATAGTTTTTGCAGACCTTTTTCTGTACACTGATCACATAGCTAACTAAGTAAATGCCAAAAAACACAGGAAGCATCTTACTGGAGGCTTTAGCGGGGGGACATGGTTTTATCTATGTATTCATGTGTTCTACAAAGACATACTTGTATAAATGAGTTTAAAGTCACCCATAGGAGATCTTATACTTAAAACACTTTTCTGTTTCCTTATCTGCTACCTTGCAATCAAGTCTATGTGGGAGGGCTACTCAATGGCTTATCGCTTCTGTTCTCGGAGTCTCATTGTCTTCCTTGGAGGTCTGTATTTAAAAATAGTTTCATGTTTCCCATTCAGGCTAAGTGGCTCTTTTAAGATTCCTAACCTTGAGATTATAATCTTCGTTATCCATGACACTGATACACATTTCAATAACAACAGTAAATGATTATTTCACAAAGTGCTTTTAAAACAGGTTTGTTCCAAGCACCAAAGAAACGAACCTCCAAACACAACCAGGTTGATCATTTAGAGATGACCTTCTCTGCTGTGTAGTGTTTACAAAGTGAGATGAGCCAGGAAATGGGCCAGGATAAGAAAACGGCAAGGTTCCATGGATTCATGGAACATTAAAAACACGGCTACAGCAGAATCTAAAATCACTTTCTCCTCAGGGAAGATGTCCTGTCTAATCACTCTATAAAGTGATTTTGTAAACTGGCCTTTTGCATGTGTAAAGTAAATGGGCTGTCTGACCTTACTGTAATTCAAGAAAAGCCAAACCAATACTGTCACATCGTAGTTACAGTACAGAAAGAGAGTTTGACCTAGGAGTCTTACAACTTGAAAGCTAAGGCTAACTCATTCACCTTTGCTTCATCTTTCCAAAACAAATACCTCATTTAGCAAACTGATGAGTCTGTTATGGCAGTAAAGTGCAATCAGCCTTTTGTCTCAGATGTTAATGACCCAGTATTTGATAAAGGTATCAGCGCTGGGTAACTAGTCTGTATAAATTTCCTGGCATATAAATTTAACTCAAGTGAAATACTAAAATGACTAGCTTTAAAAAGATGGCTCTAAGATGATGATGATGTCGCCATAGACTAGCTTATTTTTCTTCTCTAACAGAAGTTACTTCATGGCAAGAAATGTTTCCTTTGGCTCAGTTGACTTGAAGATAATTTCATTTGGAACTTTTCTTAGCTATTTAATGAAACAATATAAACATAAATAGGGCAAGACTCACATAGCCAATTAGTGGGTCTCATTCAATGGAATGGACTAAGCACATGCCACTGCCACACTGACCAGATGGATTGATGATTTAAGCAAAACTGCTGTCCTTTCCCACTGGGTAAATACCACTGTTTCCTAAAACATGATTCTGTGGTAGTAGAAAAGAGAATTTTGGAATCAAGGCCCTCACTGCAGTAGCTAGGCTGGGCATCCATGGCAAGACCTGAGGTTCATGTCCACAGCTCTGGCACAAAGTATCTGGTACACTATAAAAGAGACATCTATGCCTTGGAAGGAACACTCTGAGGCCACAGAAACAGACCAGAGAATGAAGCTGATCTCTGGGCTCCTCGTTCTGTGACACCTATCTCAAGAAAAGCATCTGCAACATCTGAGTGTGCGAGGCAAGGTGGCCCCAAATCACAAGGAAGCTGAGTTTAGTTGAAAGTTGACATTGAGCTCAGAAGTGCTTCCATTTGTTAGCAGTTTTCAGCTTTGGGCTTCAGATCAGTTGATAAATGACATAATAAAAGGGTAATGAGTAAACTCAGATGAGTTTGGTCATTATCAAGCTATCTACACAGTGCCCAGTTAAGTAAAATGATCTAGTGGAGGAATAGTTCTGGCCTGGGAGTAAAAGAAAGCCAGTTAAAACACATCTTTCTCTAAAATTTCCCGTAAAGTCAACTGAACAAAGTGTAAGATTTCTTGCTTTTTAAATGTCACCTTAGCCTCAATTTTAACTTACATTGTTTATTAAAAGGATCAAACAGACATCCGTTTGAAATTGCTATGATAGAGAAAATATTTTTTGAGGAAAATGAGCTAAAACTTGGAAAAATAAGTAAAAAGGCATTTGTATTGACAGAACTCTAAGTTTTTAAAGTTAAAACAATATACTGTACCTACAAAATACTGTAAAAATATGTCTTAAAATAGAATGACATTTAGTCAGAAGGCTCAGTAAAACTTAAAAAGCTTCCCAATAAAAAGGACAATAAAAATAACCTTTTAATCTTTGACCCTTCCTCACTTTCTTGCCCTCAGTCTCTGCCAGTCTAGATGTACTAAAGCAGAAGAGACTAAAAGCCATGAAAAAGTGCTGGTATATTTAGAATTTCTTCAGGACAATTTCTATCTTGGTAACTTGAATTCTGATCAAGGCAACTGATGAACTTTAAATATATTTGGAGTCACCGGTTCAAAGACCTCATCATCATCTTCCACCCCTTCCTGTATTGGCTTCATCTTGGCAGAGGCTCGCTGGTGAGGGGAGGACATGTCTATGAAAAAACATAGAAATGAAAATTGCTGAATGCATAACGAGCCCAGACACTGGTGTGATGTAGTAACTATAAACCCCACCTGGAAAACAAAACTCTGAGAATCCACAGCTAGTACCAGGAATGCAGTGTCTCTAATGTCATTATTTTTTTTTTCATTAAGTTTATTGGTACATTTTAGGTATACAATAGAATGACATTCATCATTGGGAACCTGTACCTTTACATGACATATTTTGTTTCTTAGTTTTTCCCCATTCTCCTGACCTCCTTCACCCCCTCCACCCTTCCCTATTTACAAAGATTTTGTTTCCATTTTTTCATTTTCTCATATTTTTTCCTTTCCCTTCTTTCCTTTCCCCCACCCCTCCCACTTCCCCTTCCTCTTTAGATCTTTTCTTCCTATTTCACATTATCAATTATAATTTTAATTCTTATTTACACTTATAGTTTCTCACACAAGAGAAACTATTTGCTATTTACACGTGTCCTATTTATTTCACTTAAGAGTATCGCCTCAATGTGCATCCATTTAGCTATAAATGTCTCTAGTTTCTTGTTCTTTATGGCTGAGTAGTACTCCATTTTATAAAAAAAAAAACCTCATATCTTCTTTATCCAGTCTCCAGTTGATGAGCAATTGAGCTGTTTCCAAGTTGTAGCTATTACAAACTGTGCTGCTGTAAACATGGGTGCATATATATCACTATGGTATGATTCTTTTAAATCTTTTGGGAAGATACCCAGCAGAGGAATAGCTGGGTCGAATGGGACTTCCAGTCCTAGTTCTTCAGCTCACCTGTCCAGGCAGTGGCCAGTTCCTCTCCTAACTGAGGACAGGCACCTCCTGTGGGCTTCACTGCCTGCCCTGAGGGTCCTTACCTGTAGTGCAGATGGACCTGCCTGCATGGAGGACTGGCTCAGGGACCCTGATGGGCCTTTGTGCCTCCCTCAAGTCCTGAGTTACATGAACTGGGGAGATTGGACATGATAACCATCAAAACTCTGGGACACCGAAGAGGGAAAAGTTAGGTAAAGAATTCCCTTTGCTGGCATTTGATCCCTACTAAGCTGATTTAGATTTCAGTGTGCTTCTAATTATATGAGGGCCTGAGAGTCTCTCCAAAAGTAAACAGACATTTGTTGTTCTGAAAACCAGAGTAAAGGTCATGCCTGTTCCTGAGAATGAATAAGCTACCTCAAGTCTGAGCTGCAAAATGAGTAGCACAGTGTGAAGTTTGTCAAGTGACTTTTCTTGACTTATGAAACACTTTTTCACGAAGGAGCAACACTTTTGTAATCTAACCAGTGTAATGTTCTAAGATTTTTTTTTCCCACTCTCCTATTAACTTTAATGACATTTTCTTCATTCCTTTCAAAGTGTTATTATTTTTATTATGTTTAACCATCTGGCCAACTACTTTAGCAAGTAATTAAAAAATCTTACAAGGGTTTGGAATTTTAATTAGATTATACAATATTTGATAAATGGGGATAGAGAAGGATTTGATAGTTTCTCTGCTAGAAAAAATTATCATCTTTTTTTTTTTGCCTTTGCTTATTTATACCATTTTTTTTTTCCTTTTTTCCTTTTTCTTAGTGCTGAGAATCAAACCAAGGGCCTTGTCATGCTAGACAAGCCCTCCACCACTGAACTACCCAGGCCCTGTAAGATTTTGTTTTTAATTGAGGGAACTGAGTTTGAATTGAAGCTTTCTGAATAATAATGCCTAAGGATAGCTGTGGCTTTTGCACCTAATTTTCCCTTAAATCAGCTCAGCACCAGCACTGAGGTATACAAGCAAAATGTACAAAATCAAGGCTAATGGGGAAGTTGGCATAGGTTAATGGCTCTCAGGAACAGGTTATCTCTGGATCACAGGGGTCATTCTCAGATCATTTCCAGACCATTTAGGTGGGTGATCAGGGAATCCAACGTCTTCATCTTTAAAAATCATATAGAGAGAAAAAGAAAGGGATGTTTAGGTGTGTTATTTAATGTTACAAAGGTAAATAATAAAAGAATAAGAACCACTGGTATTACCATGTGGAAGAGTAAGGGGAAGGGAAGGTAGAAGAAAAAGGTTAAGTGGATAAATCAATAAATAGCACATTACTCAGGATTCAGAACAAAAATTGCTCCAAAGTAACTTTTTTGGGAGCCTGGCTAAAATTAAGTTGCAAGGGGTTAGGTTTTTATTGTAAGATTTCTGTTTTGACTATCTGATGTCTATATACATAATTTTTAAATTTTTTATTAAGATTAAAAATGTCTACCTGTACACAGTCCCTTCACAGACACCTTACAGGTGAGGACATGCTGGCTGAGGAAAAAGGTCATGGCTGGACAGGGAGGACAGGGACTCTGGAGTCCGAGCACAGTCCCTGCTGGCTGGGGAGATAATGTCATATTCCTCACTCCAAGGGGGAAATGAACACCAACCCACAGGGCGGTTGTGAGGATTAAATGAAAATGCCCTGGACAGTGGTCAGCATGTATCAGCTGCTACAGGAATGCTGAACACCCTTAAACAAGTTTACTCATAAACTGATACTGCTAACTGTGGGGTAAAAAACCAAAGCAAGAACTTAACAACACATTCAACACTTCTGTTTCAAGGTTAGCCAAGTGACCTTAACCAGATAATCCAACCTCCCGGAGCCACAGTTTACTCATCTACAAAATGGGGATGCGGTCTTTCTCTAGCCCTTTTGGTGAGTTTGAGAATTGCTCATAGGCTCCTCTCCCTTCAGCTGCTGCCTGATCACATCTGCTCCCCACTTCACTGCATAGTTCATGCAATGCTAGTTGTTTGTAAGTCTACAGCCATTCACAGTAGGAATGAAATGCAACCTGAGCTGAACAGATTATTTCATGAAATGAGCCTTGAAACTAGGAATGCTATTTTGGTTTTTTGTATCATTCTAGGTAAATAAATACATAAGATCTGAGAGAAACTTGTCATATCAGACATATTGCTAGTCTTTGCAGATGAAACTACTAACCAGATGCAAGCTAACTTAAGTATATTTGTACAACTAGGTCACATGGAGTTAGTAGATTGTTCAGAGTACCATCTGGACACCAATAACAAAAAAGTACTTTAAAAGACTTGCTTCTTGGCTAGGAATGGTGGCACAAGCTTATAATCTCAGCACTTATTAGGCCAAGGCAGGAGGGTGGCACAAGCTTATAATCTCAGCACTTATTAGGCCAAGGCAGGAGGATCACTGCAAGTTCAAGGCCAGCCTGGGCTACATAGTGAGTTCAAAACCACCCTGAACTACATGGCGAAAAACAGTCTCAAAAAAGAAAAATACTTGTTTTTTATAAGAAATAGCTCTCTAAATTTTTTATAGCATCTTTGATAACATCATGTTAATTATTTCATGAAAAAATGGTTTAAACTGACGTTCTTTCAAAGGTGAGTTCCAACTGATATTGCCTATATTGTCTTATGAATAAAAAAAAGCCAAGACAACAGGTTATTTAACCTCAATTAACCTTCAAAGAAATGTGGCATGCCCCCCTGTTACCATGGCAATGCCTGTGCTCCAGCACTACTTATTAGTGATGGAATTGCCAAGGACGGTGTACAATCTATCTGTGAGGGCAGGAGGAAGACAGAAAGTTTTATGCATTAAAACCTTGTAAGGAGAGAAGATGACAAGATTACCTGATGAGCAAGCACCTTGGTCCAGCAGCGGAGAGAAGAAGGCTGATAAACATATGATGGCACTAAGCCCGTCTCACTCATCTTGGACATCTTGCCCTCACCTCTCCCCATCTCACAATCATACATGCAAATGAAACCCAGTAAACAAAGCAATGGAGAGTGAAAAGAGTTTTAAGTTCACTGGATTATGAGCTATTGAATAATAGGAATTAATTTTTCTCAGGTTATCTCATCACTTCACTTTCTCCCCTTCAGATGACAGTTTAAAGTGGAACACAGAATCTTGTGAAGAGAGGAGAGATCTTGCTGTGGGTTTAGCATTGTGAGACTTGTAAAAAGACAGCACAACATAAGAAATGGAGGTGGCAGTCATTTCATTGAAACAGTTCACTTAAAGTTTCCCTTTACCTTTATGAACTGCATTTCTGTTTAATAGCACATCTGCTATGTAATGAAGTATGTTTCTGGTATTATATCCCAGACTGGCTGGGATCTTTAAAAGTAGTGCCTTCACCACAGTCCACGGAAGCTGCTACCCTGAACGATCAATAGATGAGAAACACAAGATGTCATCTAAAACTAAAGTGAATAATTTTTTTAAAAAATTATTACGGTAAAAGATATTGCCATTAAATCCCCCTCCAAATGTCTCCCCTTGCTTTGGACACACTTATCCTACCATTCTTGCCATTTTCTGAAGAAGTTCTGGAAGTCCTCTTCCATGCATTTCTTTAGTTGCACTGTTGTGGCTGCCTTGATGTCCTGAATTGATTCAAAATGTTTACCTTTTGTGGTCATTTCAACTTCGAGGAAGAGCCCCAAGTCTCACGGTGCCAGATCCAGTGAAGAAGGTGGATGTGAACATACCAAAATGTTTTTGACAGAAATTTCTGTAAACTGCTGCAGAAAGTGGTAAAAGTGATGGGATAAGTGTGTTCTAAGCGAGGGAGTGTATTTTGAGGAGGTTTAGTGGCAATCTGGTTTGTACTGTAATAAAATTTTTGTTTAAACATTCACCAGTTTGATCACATCATGTACTAGAATGTCAAAATCAGCATAATTTCAGAACACTGGTAATTCTATAGCCTCTCTACTCCAAAGTGCAGTTCACAGACCAGCCACAAAAGCATCACCTGGGTCTGTTACACTACCAGCCCCACTCAACAGCCACCACATCAGGAGCTTTAATAAGCTCCCTGGGAGATGCACATGCACATTTAAGAATGTTCCACAGGTCAAACAAAAAACCAAAACAATGCAGATACACACACACACACACACACACACACACACACACACACACAGAAAGAGATGAAAACGGAGCCCACAAATTAGACTTTGGCAATGTATCCACCAGATGCAATGTACACAAGCTGTTGGAACACAGCTGCTGTGGCTAACACATAGAGTTGTCAAGCGCTAGCCAATGTCACTTACAGCTTTCTCTTTTTAAAACACAGAGGAAATTTTGAAATGAAATCATAAAACAGGAACATTGCTGTTCCTAAAAACTGTTCAAGATTTTTTTTTGTACCAGGAATCGAACTCAGGGCCTCATCCTTGCCAGGCAGGCACTGTACCACTGAGCTACATCCCCAGCCCCAGGTTGTTTTTCCAAAGGCAGGTGTAGAATCCTAGAATGTGACCTAAAATGAGCTAGCCAGAACCAAAGTCTCTAAGGAGCAGAACCTGAGGAATGAGAACAGGGCCCTGTGAACCAAGGTTAGAAGTGACATGTGCTGTCAATCATTCTGAATTTTCCACAAGTTTCACGTAGTCTGGCCTACAGAGTGTGGGATATTCCACCAAGACTCCTGGTTACTACCACCAATCAGCTCTCTACTTCCCCTTACCTCAGGCCACTTAAATTCCTTCACCACTAGCCAACTGGGAAACAGACTTGAGCTTGTCTCCTTGTCAGCTGGCCTGCAATAAGTCTCTTTATTTTTGCAAACACTTGATGCCAAAGTACTGGTTTCTGTGTGCTTAAGCAGCAGCAAGCCCTTGCTAGGTATCACTCGGGTCAACAAGCATGAGCTTTACAACCCAACAGGATCCATAGATTTGTATCCAACCCCTGTGCAATGCAAACAAGTGAATAAACACACTCCCAACTGCCTCATCTGTAAAGTAAAATAATAGCCACTGAGGTCAACTCAGTTTGCTGTTAAACCACTTGCACTCCTTCTCTCATCCCTCTGCACAGCAAGAGGGTTCAATGATCTACTACTGACGGCACTTACAGCCACATCACGGAAGTGACACAGCCCACTTGGGAGCAGGATGTAAGAGCCATTGGTGAATCTGCCACCACTGTCCTCCCTCTGCCTAAGAACAAGAGCCCATTAGGCTGCTTTCTGGCCAAATCCTGGAGTGGGGAGCACATGGCCCAAGGCATCACCCAAACTGCACATGGAGCCTCAGTTAATACTTTTTAAAAGAAACCATGCAATAAATTTGTTACATGTGTTGCACCTGAAATGCCCTTGCTGTCCATGACATATTTCTATGCTTAGATTTTGCTTTCGAATGTTACATCTGAAGAAATTAAAACTATGCTATTGTGGCGTATTGATCGTTTTGAGTTTTAAAGGCACTTAAAAAAACAGCAAGTGCAAGAAGACTGTCACTCTGACCTTCGCTGATCATCACTTCTGAACAGATTTCTGACATACAAGAAACAAAATTCCCATGTAAAAGATGCCCTAGTACTACTCAGCCATACAGAAAGATAAACTTGAGTCATTTGTATGAAAATGGATGCATCCTGAGCCCATAAGTGAAATAAATCAGACACACAAAATTAAATATCATATGGTTTCTTTTATATGAGAAACCCAAGTTATAAATAAAGAGCAAAATAAAAAAGATAACAGGAAGCAGGGAGAAAGATCTTTCTCAAATAGAAAGGAGATCAAGAGAAGGAGGGAAGAGAGGAAAAGGGAATGAGAAAGGAAGCAAGATGTGTCATGTGCATGTTACCAACTGAACACAGGAATGTACTACAAACATGTACTAATCAAAAAGAAAATAATTATTAAAGAAGAGTAACAGCACTCTTATCAGGGACAGGAAGCTGAGACAGAGAATTCTTTACAAACCCTATTTAAATAACTCAAGTATTCCAACATAATTTAGTTAATTTTTCACGATTCCTTATTTTGTCCAATTCAATACACGTTAAAGTGTTTGACTCTACGTCTTTGTGTCTCATTTCCTTCTGCAGGGTCTGTGCCATGTAAAACTTGTATTATGTATAAACTTCTCCAGTTAACCTGTCCTATGTCAGTTTAATTCTCAGGGCCAGCCAAAATACAAATAAATAAAAAGGGAAACCATAAAAGGGAAGAGGGGAAGTTTTGCCTGCCCTGCACACCAACTATATGGCCTTATAAATTCCATCCTCTTCTGACTAACACAATTTATCTGAAGCACACAAAGTTACAAGATCATTTATATAAACACAGGATTACTGAATGAGTGCTTGCAATTTTAAACAAGTGGCTTTGGGTCAGAATATAATTGGAAATGTGAAAGTTTTTAACTTGTACAATGGAAACACTGGATACTTATAATAATTTAATTTCCCCCATTTTATTTATTAATTTTGAAAACCTGTCTCATTTGTGCCATTTAAAATGATTTAAAGCAATCTAAACTTGGAAGAGTCTGGAAAACTTGCCTCTCAGTGGTAACTCAGGGATGTTGCAAGATCTTCCTTTTCAGGATCATCCCATTATGCAACCAATTTTTAACTCTTGGTGCTCAAGCTGAGATAATCCAACAGTTAAACCTCCAGCAGCTTTTTCCCTATCATTCTTTGAAGAAGGTGACTTTTTTTTTTTTGGTACCGGGGATCGAACTCGGGTCCTTGTGCTTGCGAGGCAAGTGGTGGAACCACTGAGCTAAATCCCCAGCCCTCCCTATCATTCTTAACACACTGTTGGTCTAGGATTTCACTCTAAAATCATGAAAACACTTTATCCACCAAAATATGTGGACTATTTTACACTCTCCCAGCGAATCTATTTTACACTTTCCCAGCAAAGTATATATGGCAAAACAAGTGAACAATTTCTAAAACATAATGAGTTTTAAAGTTGGATTAGCTGATGGGAAATATACGGGGAAAAAATCTAGAAAAAAATTGGCTATTGCTACCTTTATGTTGCTAAACAGTTACTTGCAAAGTTTTTGTTTTGTTTTGTTTTGGTACTGGGGATCGAACTCAGGACCTTGAGCTTGCAAGGCAGGTGCCGGAACCACTGATCTAAATCCCTGGCCCAGCAAAGTTATTTTTTGATTAAACTGTCATACTGGCTGTGAAAGTGACATCTCCAGATTGCTGGAGTCTCATCAGTTTTGAGGTAACTTACAAAGGGAAGATGTGCTGGAGGAGCCCCTCAGAAACTGCTGCAAACCATCTTCACCGTCACTGGAGCTGGCTATACTGTTCCTCATTTCCAGCATGGAGATCTGTGCACAGAGACTGAGCTGGTGCTCCAGCTTTTTGGCCTTCTATAAAACAAAGTTTTAAGATTCTGAGACTTGAATCATATAATCCCTGTAACAGCATGTATTTTTCCTTGTAATAGGCTAGTGAAAAAAAGAGTATCTGATGCACCTTAAGTATCCAATGAATGTAAGCTGTGACTTTATCAGCTCTCACTGTATACACATTATAAGAAATTTAACCTACTCAATAAGCTATTTATCAATCTGAAATAATAAGCACAAACTTAATGTGACAGAGAGTTGAGACAAGATGACTGAAGAGGTGCACACCCATACCTGGTGTTCCTGGAGAACAGTATGCATCACAGAAATGACGTTTCACAAGTTCTCTTGTTTAACTACTTAAATTTTCTCCTAAAAAATGTGGGAAATTAAGGTCCAAGTGCAAACTGTTGAAGATCTGTGCATCTCTGAAAGCTCATCCTTTCTCGTCACCCATGGGCTTCCTAGGGGTGCTGTACCTACGAAGATGTGCAGGACTGGAAGAGACCTCTGCTAAAATGCCAGCTGGCTGCTTTCAGGGTTTACAGCCTTTCCCGTCTACAGCCTCTCTCGGCCCTGCCATCCCTGGTGTACTCTTCTCTGACTCCCTTCCATTCCCTTACCATCTTCCGTAGGTTACTTAAAAAACTTTTGAAGAGGACAGTACTTCATCTCATAAATGCTGGCCCCTGATACAGACTATATTCACTAGGTAATGACAAATGCAATAATTATAAAATTCTCCCTCACTCTCAAGAAATGACTTGCTCAAGAATCTCTCCCTTACAATATCCCCTCTGCACCTAATATATGACTACTTAATGGAAATCAGGAAAACACAGATTGGGTAAAGTGAAGTATGTCTCACTGTACATGCTTGATTAACTAAAAAAAAAAAATTCAAAAAAGCACTTACTTTATCATTTAAGGTGGGATCATTCAATGAGTAGAGCTTATTTGTAATGTCTTTTCCTATAAGATACCTAAATATTTCATACAGAAAAGGCTCTGATTCCAGAAAGTAAGTTAATTTTTCTCTTGACCAGCACAAAAATCTGCAGTTATCATCTGCAATAATGGTGACCTGCCAAAGACACAAACATGCAAAGAAAGGAAATGCATCTATGTATGTGAATTATGACTATAGTATTTGGGAGAAGGAAAGAGTAGAATAATTTAACAGACATTATCATAGCAAATGATTTGTCAAATTAGTTAAAATTCAATGCATGCAAGCTTCTATAACTATATGGAAAATTGTGTTTAAAAACAGTCTCAGACTACACACAAACAGGTTATATATATGTAGTGCAACTGTCATCCCCTAGTCACTCTCTACCATTTTCCTGCTTCTGTATTTGTCAAAACAATTATTGCCCCCAAGATTATCATATTTCTTTATTTATTATCAGCCTCCCCTTTGAGAATCTGAGCTTCATGGGATAAGAATCTTGTCTAACTTATTTACCACCGTAACCTCAGTGGTTTGATGCCTGGCACAAAGCACATGCATAATAACATACTGAAAGAACGAATGAAATTTAGTATTTTATGGAGTCTTAAGGATGCCGATACATTTCTTAAATCCAAATGTGTTTGGTTTTGGGGATTCTAACTATAAGTCCAAACTTTCTTTTTCTAGGAATATTGATCCACTTTTTAATGTGGCCAAACCTAATTTGCTAAAGATCGGATTTCAGCCTATTGATGTAAGGACAGAGCTGAGTTTTTCATTTTCTTTCTTGGTTGACTTACGTAACCCCTTTGTCATCTGAAACGTATTTAATTTTGTGTTGGACAAAGGGAAAGAGCTCTTTTGGAACTATCTGCTCTGAGGCCCAGATAAGACTTCATGTCAATTTAACAAACCTTTATTAATGTTCTACTAGGACAAGCATTAGGTTTAATGTTGAGGATATGAAAATAGTGCTTGCCTTCAACAGTCTGTGCCCATTTATTAACTCCTTCATTCAGTAAACATGCATTGAGCACCACTGTGATTGTTGGAAGCCTGACATTTTAGGATGGGCCTCTGGTCCAATATGATTATTCCCTATAAAAAGGGGAAAAATTGATGTGAGATTTTAAAGCTTCTGTAAAACAAACATACTTCTTAAGTCATTAGGGCACTTTAACAGTGCCACGAGGGAATTGCTGAGGAGTCAGAAACAGAAGTCTGGCATAAGGATTAGTGAACTGTCTTGAGGGGAAAATTTATTACTTTTTCATGTATCATACAGCATTTCACATGCTAGGAGCATGAAACTGTCCTAGAAGAGGTCTATTCATCTGGTGCTTACTGAGTTCTCATGGGCACTAATATATACCAGTTAAAATCAGCAGGTTAAACTGCTTTATACCTTCACTGAAATACGTACTTAATAGTAAGATAATGTTTTCTTTAAATATCAGGTAAAACTCAGTGTTCACTTATTTCACAAGACCACAGATACATGTCTCCAAGACATTCCTCTTCCCTTGAAGTCAATAAAACTGATTTTCAGGCTTTGCAGCACCAGGATATACTACTGGCTATGGGAAGGCAACAGCATGAGACAGAATGCAAAAGAAAAACATGTCAGCAGTAGTGCTCACTGATATGAAACAACTGCACAAAGAAAAAGAAGACAAACACAACACACTACTACTTCTATCTTCTGTAACAATGGTACTCAAGATTCCAATAGTCATAAGTGGTAACTTTTGGTCTGTAAGTACCAAAACAACTGCAAGCACCTAGGGAGAGGAACTGTAAGTTCCAACTTTGTGTTTTCAGCTCTGTCACTATACCCATTACTATTAAAATTATTACACCTTTGCCTGAACAACGCTCTAAAATGCTGTGCAATTTCAATGGACTATTACCAAGTCACTTGCCTTTTCTTTCCTTCTTTTTGTCATATTGTATAATTCATCAATAGCCTGACCACAGAATGAATTTAAAGAAGTAAATATTCAAAAGACGTAGCTGCTTGTCAGAAAGCTCCCAAAAGGGAAGGATGAGCTTAGGAAGTACAAGGCATATAGGTGGAGAAGTCCAACCACTGAAAATTTCAAGTGTCCTCTGTGACTGCTACAGGGAGTTAAGAAATTGGCCCTGGAAGCACATGACATTTTTTCATTTGGGAACTTGCTTCAGAAAGAGGATATTGTAGGATGCTGCACATCCTACACAGATGTGCAACAGACACATTTTACTCTTGAGTATCTGGCAACAGGAACAGTTTGTAAATAATCAAAGCAAAACCTCTCCCAAGGGCTTACTTTGATGGAGTTAGCTCTGCCTGTACAGGAACGGGCTCAATGATGCTAGAGTAATTTTCATTCACTGGCCAAACACAAAATGCCACTCCAGATTCTCTGCAGAGAAGTGCAGAAAAGCTGACTGGTAATAACAAAGGATAAATCAGAATCCTTCATCCAAGTATGGTACCTCAAGTTTGGTCAGCTTCTTAGAATCTTCCCATTAGTTACCAGCAACAATTCTCAACTACCAAAATCTAATCCCCAGTGTCCAAGAAGAAAAAGAACTGTATTAGTGGTAGGAATTACTGTTTGTTAACCTAATTATAAATGTAATATAATTTGAAGCCTAGCAGAAAGGGTACTACACTTTTGTGTTCCTGGCCTCTGAGGAACCTCTTGCTTTAGGAGACAAGGGTTTGGTTCCCATTACATCCCAAATCCCAGTTTCTTCAGGATAATATGAGACTGAGTTATCATTTAAAACCACCTGCTACTGGGCTGGGGATTTAGCTCAGTGGCACCGTGCCTGCCTTGCAAGCACAAGGTCCTGAGTTCTATCCCCAGTACCGCCTAGATAAATAAATAATAAACAAACAGCTGCTACTATACACAGAGAAACAGATGCAATAGATAAATGCTGGGCTTTGGAAAAAGCAACTGTCAGGAGGCGAGAGGACAGAAAGAGAGGAGAAAGAAGTGGCCTTGTCCTCCTTTCTAGATGGTAGTGACTAAAGGTACAATAAGAACATAACTCTCTGGGCATTGTTGACCTCCTTAGTGACAAGGTCACAGGTAAACTAGAGGAGCCAGGACATAGCATTAATTTCCTCTTTCTGTATCTTAAGCATAGTCACCATGGGAACAGTGTCACACATACCAGTAAAAGGTCTGTGAGACCATCCAATAAATGCGTTTAATTTTAACAGATTGTATAACTACTTAGGCCAGTTACTCAGACAGGGAGGGAGCAGGGTAAGGCTGAAATCATGTGAATGGAATAAACTAAACTGTATGCCTATAATATTTTATTTTTATCTTCAGTCTGTGGCATCTCAAATTCTCTGGTATCTCAAAATGAGACTCTAAAATGAGACTTTGCTATCCAGAAAACTGACATTTCTTTCTCCCTCAGGTTGTATCATCTCCTTCAATTTCATTCTGTACCTAGACAGATGGACCTTATTGCTCAGAATATTTCCTTACTGCTGCTTACCTAGAGGTTTAAACTAAAGAAAACTCTCACCCATGTTCTTGATTATTTTCCTACAAAAAACAAATGGGACATCTAGGTACTCACAAAAAGAATTAGAATGAAGTGTCATGTAATGGAGCAATTAAAAAATAAAAAAAGAATTATACCAAGTAGTCCACACTTAAACTGCTGCTACTACGAATAATTTCATTCTTTGCCCTTAAAAATACTCATTACAAACAAAAGGGAAAAGTGATTCAATATTTTCATAATGATTACTAAAATAAATTCTCTAGGGCAAAGCTAGTTTTCTGCTTTTCCCTAATAAAATTAATCAATTATATGTTTTAGGTAAACTGATTATCTACAAAGACATTCTCCTTTTGTCTCATGATAAAAACATTAGATAGTTTCTATGGAAAAATTATAGAAATTCAAATAAGCAAAAAGGAAATTTAAAAAGCACACAAACTCATACCAGAAATAACAATGTTAACACCTTGGCTAAAATAGAACATATCTTTATAGACCTCTTTTTGTGTACATATACATTCTGTTATGGTTTAGATCTAAAAAGTCCCCCAAAATTCTTATGTGTGTAGAAGAATGTTCATACAAGTTTTGGTACCAGAAAAGTGGGGTCATTGCTATGACTGTGCCTGACCATGTGATTTAGACTCCTTTAGAACTGGTTCATAGGAGGAGTTTAGGAAAATTTGGAGATGCTGGCTAGAGAAGCCCTAGAACTGAGCTTGATGGGAAAGTTTGGTTAATGCTCAGAATACCAGAATGCTAAAAGAAATGCAGACAGTAAAGGCCAGGCTCAGGAGGTTTCAGTTGGGAACAAGGACTCCTTTGGCAGTTGGACTAGAGGTCATGTGTGTTACACTCCGACAGAAAATCTGTCTACATCTTACACACATCCTGACTTTACAGGAAACTAAAATTAAAGGCCAGGGCCTAATTAATCTAGTGGGGAGATTTCAAAGTAGCTTGATGCTCAGGCTGGCATGGGTACTACTGACTGCTTTTAGGCAGATCCCCATTGAGAATCAGGAGCAAATGGCCATGCTGAATGATTTGAAAAGTTATTAATTTCCCCAGAAAGAAAGCACCTACAAAGTTGGAGCAAAGGAAAGCATGGTTGCTTAAAAGATTAGCATTAGGGCTGGGGATTTAGCTCAGTGGTGGCAGTGCCTGCCTCGCAAGCATAAGGTACCAAGTTCGATCCCTGGTACCAAAAAAAAAAAAAAAAGATTAGCATTAAAAAGAAGCTAAGTACTTTGTACCAGGACCATAGAAACGATGGCTTGAAGCCATCTCAAGAATTACCAAGACCTCACCCATTGCAATCTCAATGGTAAAAACCTGTAAAGCTTTCATTTGAGAAGAGACCCAGTGGGTGCCCTGCTAAAGATGGGCTACCTAGGGAGCTGGTTCACCAAGGTTAATTTCATAGTGTGTGGCACTCAAGAGGCCACTGCAACCAAGATCCAAGGGGGCCTGGCTTCTGCTCTCACTGGTAGCAGACCTTGATATCAGCCACATGGTACTGATTTTATAGGCATCCAGAATGTAAGAGTTGCAGTGTGACCCTGAGAGATCAGTACAGGAAGCTGTGAGAGTGAAGCCAGAAGTTAAGTGGAGACTTCAGGAATTTGGAAATGCCAGGAACATAGAACATCTGCTGAGGAATGCAACAGGCAGTGGGTAGAGCCACCCAAGAATGAAGCTATGTGTGCTGTAGCTAACAATGCATGGTGGTGGGTCTGTCCAAGCCCTTTGGAGTTCACATCTCACCACAACTTGCCCTGGGTACTGGACACAGAACTACATGATTTAATGTTTGTCTCGCTAAATTTTGGTCTTTCTTTGATCCCATTCCTTTCTATCCACCTACTTTCCTCTTTTGGAATGAAAATGTTTACCCTGTGGCACTGTATGCTGAAAGTATTTAACTTTCTTTTGGGTTTTTAAAAGGGGCTTACAGCTAAGAGTTTGCCTTGAGTCTCAGAGGAGAATTTGGACTTGGACTTTTCAGCAATATTAGGACTACTAAAACTTTAGTGATTTTTAGTGATGGACTAAATGCATTTTTGCATAATGAGTTGGATATGAGTCTTTTGGGAATGAGGGGTGGAATGTTATGGTTTAAATTTAAAATGTCCCCCAAAATTTTCATGTGTATGGAGGGGGATTGAATTATGGTGGTAGTATATTCATCAGTGGACTGCTCCATTGATAAGTTCAGTAGCCAAATGTGCTATTAGGAAGCAGTTGGAGGTAGAGCACTGAGGACATGACCTAGGAAAGTATATTCTTATTCGTAGCTCCTCCCTTCTCTCTCTGTTTCCTGGCTGCCATGGGTTGAACAGCTTTCCTCTGCTATTCCTTCCCACCATGTCATTCCCTCCCACCATGCCATTCCTGCCTTGGAACAGGCTGACCATGAGCTGAAACTACAAGCTAAAATAAATCTGTTCTCCTTTAAGTTGTGAGAGTTGGGTATTTTAGCTCAGTAGTGGGAAGGTGGCTAATACACACACTATTTTACACTTAGCCACCTCATCATCAACAAAGGAGCCAAACACTCTCACTAGGAAAAGATAGCCTCTTTAATAAGTAGTGCTGGAAAAATTGGGTTTCAACTTGCCAAAGACTAAAACTAGACTTACATCATGCACCAAACTAAAATTGAAACGGATTAAAGGTCTAAATATTAAAACAGAAATGCTGAACTGGCTGGAACAGAGGTTAGGTAGAACTCTTGAAGACATTAGTGTCAGAAAAGATTTTATGAACAAAACCTCAGTTGCCCGTGAACTATCACAAATAAGCAACAAGTGGGATCTCTTCTTATTAAAAAGCTTCTGCACAGCAAGGGAAACCAACAGTAGTGTGAAGAGACAACCAACAATGTGGGAAAAAATTTTCACCTACTGTTCCTCAGACAAAGGTTTACTTTCTAGAATCTATAAAGAACTTAAAAAAATCAGACCTCCAAAATTTAAAGACCCAATCCAAAAGTGGGCATCTGAAATGGACAGACATTTCTCAGACAAAGAAGTAGAAATAGCAAATAAACATATGAAAAAAATCTTTAACATCACTGGTCATTTGAGAGATGCAAATGAAAACAACGCTGAGATTCCACCTTACCCCAGAAAGAATGGCTGCTATCATGAAATCAACCAATAACAAATTCTGGCAGGGCTGTGGGGAAAGAGGAATCCTGCTCCACTGCTGGTGGGAGTGTAGACTTGTGCAACCACTGTAGAAATCAGTATGGAGATACTTCAAAGAACTAGGACTGGAAGTCTCATTTGACCCAGGTATTCCCCTGCTGGGTATCTTCCCCAAAGAATTAAAAGAATCATACCACAGTGATATATGTGCACCCATGCTCATAGCAGCACAGTTTGTAATAGCTAAAACTTGGAAACAGCCCAATTGCCTGTCAACTGGAGACTGGATTAAAAAAATGTGTGTTTTTTAAAATAAAATGGAGAACTACTCAGCCATAAAAAATGAGAAATTAGAGACATTTATAGCTAAATGGATGCACATTGAGGCGATACTCTTAAGTGAACTAAATAGGACACAATGTGTCAGAAACTGAAAGTGTAAATAAGGACTAAAAGGTATAATAGATAATGTGAAATAGGAAGAAAAGGGGCAAAGGGGAAGGGGAAGAGGGAGGGGTAGGGGAAAGGAAAAAAGGGAATGGAATTAATATGAGAAAATGAAAAAATGGAAACAAAGTCTTTGTAAATAGGGAGGGATGGAGAGGTTGAATGGAGGGCAGGGGGATGGGAAAAAAATAAGAACCGAGAGATTATGTAAAGGTGCAAATTTCCAGTGATGAATGTCATTATGTTGTATGCCTAAAATGTACCGATAAAATTGATCAAATGTAAAAAAGAATGTACAAAAAAACCCAAAAAGTTTTTAAAAATGAGATTGTACTATATATGCCATGTAATAACCTCTTTTTTCAGTAGTCATTGCCACATTCTATTAATTACCATTCAATTTTGAATGAGCTATGAACTAGTTTTAATTTCCTTTTTTTTTTGGTACCGGGGATCAAACTCAGGACCTTGCGCTTGCAAAGCAGGCAGCGGAACCACTGAGCCCAGTTTCAATCTTCTTTAAAATCATACCATAGCATACCTGGAACTTTTCACCTTTGTGCATCTGAGTTGATCTAAATTCAGGGGAATCTATAAAGGCACAGGGGTAAATATTATGCAGAAAATGTCCTCGATAGGAGACCTTCATTCTGATAACAGAAAACAATGTTAATAAACATGTATTTCACAAATAACATGACGATCTTTAAAATCACCATAATCTTATGGGATTGTACTTTATACTTAAGTTTTAAAGATTCCACAGATGACAGATAGTTAAAAACACTTCCTGAAAAAGAGTAATTTCAAAAAAAAATAATACAAGGGAAACAAAACCAGAACCCGCTATTAAACCAGACAATGTGCCTTCTGATGGTTATCATTGCTATAACACCTGGAGGGACTACATAATTTGTTACTTAAACTGGGAAACTTTTGAGAGGGAAAGGGATGTTATTAATAATTATGACCACACAATAGTACCCACTGGCTCTTTCCCAGAAGACTGATATTCCTAGAAGTTATATTTTTATGATATTCAAAAAATAGGAAAATCACCTCTAAAGTACACATAAGCTTCTGGAATTTTAATGCCAGTCAATTTTGACTTAACTTTGAAAAGCTGAAAATGGTTAAAAGTAGTCACATTTGAAAACTTTGACATCAACAAAATTCAAAGCAGTGAAGTCTTCCTAGCTTTAACATGCTGCTACACAGGATTACACAGTTTAATTATAAAATGAAATTTCTTCAACACCATACTCTGACTGCTTTACCCATTATTTGGCAACATCTTTTTTTACTTATTTCCTTCCCAGAGGTCATGAAAATATTCAAGGCAAAGTAGGAATTCCTATTTCCATACCTTCCCTTCAGGAGAATACTGAGACGGTCATCAACTGAGGTTTTATCCTCTGCAGCATAAGTTTGGCCCTTTTTCAAGGTTTGAATCATGCAAAACTGTCCAGTTAATCTTCTGAACAAATCTGGAGGCACATGGAGTGGTTCAAATAATCGCCGGTAGATGCCACTGAGTTCCCTTTCAATCTTTACCTGAAATGTAGCAAAGGCAAGAAACTGCACTAAAGCAGCAACCCCAAAACACTGATTTCTATGGTATAAATATGATTTCAAGAATAAATAAACAATTCTGTTGAATATACCATCACCCTTCTGTTTTTAGGTCAATGGAGTCTTAAACAGGGTAAGCAGTGATGTAAGTTTCTACTTTATTTGCTAAAAGGGCACTTTTACAGTTAAAATCAACTCTAACAGTTTAAGAGAAGATTGGCACTATTGATCACATCTTGTTCTGCTGACCATAAAGCAGCTATTGAGATTTTGGATGTTGTTACAACATTCACCTTCCCAACCACAGCAACTTCTACAAATAACACAAAATTTCACCTGAAAAACTTGTTTCACGGAGGGAAATTACATAAACTCTTATATGTTATAGTAAGAAAACAAAGACACAAAATAGGAATCAATGAAAAAACAAATTTATGAAACAAATATTGTATTTACATTAAATGTTTTATCACTGTGTAATTATTTACTGCATCTATAGAGGAAAACAAACTCCACGGCTGGGATCATTGCTTCACATTTCTGTACTTTTAAGCCACATGAAGGAAAAGATGAGGGTATAAAGGAGCTCCAGAGTAGCAGTTTCATCCTAAGCTAAAATAAATGCCGTAGCATGGAGAATTCCCCTAATGAATAAGGCTGGCTACTGGAGGAAGAGAAAGCAAAATGGCTTTATCACGTCTGTTGTTAGATTTTCTCAGGCCAAGGTCATGCCCCAGCTCTGGGCCAGGTGCTGTCTCTGAAAGTCACACTAATTGGGTGAATGGAAAACTGTACTGCACTGGGAGTGAACTCTGCCCCAGTCCAGTGAAAGCTCCGGCAGATGCACTACAAAGCCTGCAGATCCAGATCACGAGAGCTGCTCTAACATGATGTCACTCTAGCACCTCCAGTGACACTACTTGTCCTGCTGTTTCATTTTGATGAAGAACCAGCATTTATATTTTTCAAAAAATAGTTTGATAGACAAAAGTACAGCTACTAAATCCTATTTGGTGCTTCATCCACATCAGTAATTTATGAACCTTGTTTTGAGGGGTTCCAGAAAGTTCTGATATTTAGGAACTGTCATCGTCATTATTACATTTATTTATCTTTCCCACTCCAGGCCACTAGTAATGAGCATATAAAACAATTTTCTCACAAATATGTCACACTTCCAGCATGCACATTATCCAAGGTGGTGCAGTAATGAAGAAGGCACCTAAAAATCTTGTGATACATGTTCATATTCTACTCCTCCTGCAAGTCTCAGCTCGAGACCTAATTTCTTTTTTTTTTTTGTATTAAATTCTTTTATTGGTACATTGTAGGTAT